TATATTTATATCGCACAATTATTCCGTACAGCTGGCAGTCCGTGGAACAAAGCACGTACCTATTGATTGGCCAGCGTATTTTATATAGTATTTAGCAATTAAAATCCATTCGACTTTTTTCCATGGATGTATTTGATTTTATTTGCTGTTGCGTACTATTTCCATTTTCCCTCGCACACAATTTCGAGCTCATTAAAAATTTTCAACTGAAATATTTTGCCGGAAGCTGCTTTCGAAATGTGCATACGCGATTGTGTGTGCGTGTGTGTGTGTGTGCCCTTAACGTGCCCTGACTGCCGTGTGCAGTATGCAGTGCTGCACAAAAGTATGCCGTCACAGTCAACAACTCGCCTCAAGCTCTAAGCGGTTAGCATACTTTTGCCACCACTGTGGCTGCAGCCCTCTTCCGACTGCACGCGGAGTTTGTGTTTGACTTTTTGCCTCTTTTTGCACAAATTAAACTGCAAAATTACATGCGGATATATTTAATTAGATGGCATACGAATACATTTTGTTTTACTTACCTGCCGGATGCTGTCTCTCGCGATAATTTGGCTACACATGTCGCACAGCTCTGCAGCCGTCCTCTTCCTCTATCTGCCTGGGGTCTGCCACATTTTAATGTGGCATACCAATTGCAATAATCGCATGTGTGGCAACAAAGAGCTGCAAATACATATAATGTGGTTCCTTTTTTTCCCGTTTTCATATTATTTTATTCAAGTGCCAGAGACAATCCTATCTGGGTTCACATTTACTCCACATTCTCTTCTCTCTTTTTTATTTCTTTTGCTTCATGGCATTTCACATTTGATAACATTTCGATTTGATACATTTTCTTGCTGACTCTCTCTCTCACACTCCCTTCCTGTCTCGCTCTCGTCTGCATCATTACCACTTTTATTGCCGCCTTCAGTGTCTGCGTGTGTTTCCTGTATCGACGAGTCAAGCGACTCGTGCTCAAGCGATATATCAATGACACATACGACACACACATACACACACATCACATACATATAAACTAATATTACAAATATATACATATACATTGTATGTATATATTTATTCGCATGTTGCCTTTCACACACGTCTGCCCATTTGTCTCCATCCCCCCCGACCCTTGTGCTCCATCAGGCAGTTGCTTAAGCGTTTTGTCTGCTGACTTTTCTATGAAATCCTTCTTACAACTATTGCTAAAGAGAGTTTAATACTTCTTCAAATACACTTGCTAAGGGTCTTATAACTTTGGCCAAACTTCTGCCACGCACTCATGTGGCAATCGCTTACTTTTGGCAGCGACTAGTTATAAACGTTCAAGTGCTATAAACGCGGAGAGCTCTAGGAAATAAAGGTAGTTATTTATTAAATAAGAGTCGAGTCTTTCGCTATTAGAAAACAAGACTTTATTTTTAGATATATCTAAGCCATTATAAGTCGAGGTAAATCGACTAATAAATCATAGTTTCCTTCTAGATCTCTGCTGTATCTCTGTATAGATATATTATGTAACCATGAACGAGTATTACGTTGTCGGTCGCTCCCGACTGCAGGGAGCTCAGGCTCTAGTCAGTCGCCCTCTCTAGTTGGTTGGATTTTTTGTCCGCGCTTCATTTCATTTCTTTGTTAACATGATTCGTTTTTTATGGCAGCTGCGGAGGGATTTACTCCATTTGGCTTAAATACTTATTTAAGCTTAGTTTGCTCACATGACCACGCCCCCAGAAATAACGCCCCGCCGGCAGCTGCGTCAGTGGAAGGCATGTGGCTGGGTGCCTTAATTCATTTGGTGCATTATTTAAATTGCAACGCAAGCGTATTGAAAGAACACAAAGAAGCGTTTGTTTGTTTGCATGAACTATTCACCCAGAGCCACGCCCCAGGGCAGAGCTCAACGCCTGACCGCATGGAGCTGATTGCTTTTTGTCATTGTTCGAAGGTTAAGCAACGGACTCCAGACGGACATCCATTTAAAATTGAAGCCGAAGAGAAGTTCAAGGGAAGATTTAACAAATTTTAAGCCCTAGACAGAATTTTGGATTTGTTGTCAAAGGTCGATTTGAAAACTGTTGATAGAAACTTCTCAACTCATTGACTCATTGATTTTTTATTTTGTTTCTTTCAACAGCAAATGCTCTCAAAAATATAAATATAATATAAATTTTTAAATATATATAACTAAAATGAGCCTTGAAGAATGTCTGGCAAAGATGTCGAAAATGACTCTGGTTGAACGTGGAGCTCGCGAGTCCCTGGAACGCATGGATAGCTCGAATCCCTCTTGCATTTTGAATACGACTCCAGTGTATTGCGACGAGTCCAGCGATAGTTCCGATAGCATACAGTCGGCGCCGGAGCTGTTTGTAGAGCAGCGGAAAATCGAAAATGCCCGACTGTACCCGCTAGAGGTGAAGCTCTACTGGACTTACGAGGAGGTTGGACGAGGCCTTATGAAGAAGAAGCGCAAGCGACGTGTCGATTTGTACACCGAGCGAACAGTCAAGCGCAAAAAGTTCTTTAAGGAGTGGCCCGGAACACCCACAGTGCTGAGTCCTAAGCAGGAGTTGGGCTACGAGGCTGACGATGAAAATTAATATGCATGTTGAAATTTCACTTTTTAATAAATTATCTCACGAAAGTGATCGATGATACGCGACACGACTTTTGAATCTCTTTAAGCGAAGAGCATACCTAATATCTAGTAAAAAGGCTATAGTCGAAGCTGCTCGACTAAGAGATTTCTTAGGACCTTTCGAGGAACTGAAATTACAATACTTCAACGTTTCTCTTGCGCATGGCTAACGAATTAATTACCCAATTTTCTCGAGGACCGACTATTTCATGAGACTTTTAGACAGTGATAACAAAAAATATCAGGGTATATTCTGGTTTCCCATTTCCAATTAGTTCAGGGTATAAAAACGGTAAAAATAATTTTTGAATTTATGCATAGTGCAAAATTAATTATAATATATGTATGTGTCGGAGAATTATTTGAATGTAGATATCGATTGGTAATATCTATAGTTATATGCTGTGAGTGACAATCATGGTTACTGAGTATAATATTGAAGGGAAAATAACACGAGGATGTGTTGTTGTCAGGATGGCCGTGTCGGAGAATGACTGTAGATATCGATTGGTAATATCGATAGTTATAGGGTGTGAGTGGCAATCAGGATTACTAAACTTCCCGATTGTGTCACGTAGTGTTATGAGATGGCAACGTGGAGCATGGCCAGATGGTCAGAAGACGACTCGGGTCAGATGACTTGCATTTTTGAAAATATGGACACACGTACACGGAATTCGCGCAGCTCCAGCGTTAAGAAGAATATGTCTGCAAGGGCTGATAGAAAAGTGACGACTATTCCATCCGATAATGAAATAGTTAACTACAAACATGATAACAAAGACCCGACACACGTATTTAATACCATAGATTATGCCCGAAGGCCTTTGTCGCTCTGGCTTAACAAAAATTGTTATTTAGAATTAACTCTTGGTAACAATTAATAAATAGATAGATTAAGGTTCTAGTGGAATCATAAAAATTAGCTAATTACTAGCTTAGGTTTTGATAATGGATGAATACAATATAAATCAGAATCATCAGATATTCTCTTATAACGCCCAGCTTACAATTTTTAAACTCGACTTGTTTACTTTTTGTAATCGCATTAGTTTTGAAAAATCAATCAAAAATGTTCGTACCTAAGATCTTTCTGCCTTCTATAGATTCAGTCTTCCGCCTTACCTCAAAAGTGTAACACCCAAATTTTTAAAACTTAAATATTCAAAATGTTCATTGGCCCAGTTCAAAAAGGTATTTAAACAAAAATAATAATAAAAAAAATTAGTAAGAATTTTAAATCTGAAATATAAATATTTTTTTTCATTTTATTTCTTAATTTTTTTTTTATTAATATGCAAGTATAAATATATATACATATCGTTTATTTTATAGAGCATCTGCACCAGATGATCCTGGGTTGTGGTTGGCCTTGTGGATCTCTAAGTGGGCCATGTTGTTGTAGCGGATGCTGCGGCAGCTGCTGCGGAGGCTGCTGTGGGGGAGGCTGCGGCGGCTGCTGCTGATGATCGGGGCTGAGTTTCATCAAATCAGTTTTGGACGGGGACCAATGGGCTGCCGTTTTGCCAGTACAATCTCATCGGGAAACAAACCACATTCAACATCTTCTGGCATGGGCAATGTTATGTACATAGTATAATAAATAAAGTGTGAGGCTTTTCGTATAATTTTCGTACTTTTACGGTAGTCTTTTTTATGGGGTCTACTCTATGAACCATGTACAAAAAAACTTGCTGGCCGGCAGCAGTAAGATGCAGCTGGAGTAGGCTGAAAGCAGATGTAGCTGGCGATAGTTGGGGCCGAGTTCCGCTGTTTTTGTATCTTGTTGACAATGGGGATTTACAATAGAATATTGTGTTAATGCATTACATAAATAGACCAGTTTTACTAAGGAAAGGAACCTTCGGTGTACCCAGAATATATTTACATATATAAGTTTACTCATATACGTTTGTCCAACGCTATAAGTGGAGTCGTTATGAGCAAACTACTGTATATATGAGCGATCAAGGCTCTCCCTTCTGGTGCGTGGAAATTGAGTAATGTATTATCTTCTTCCGCTTCTTCCAAATTCGAATATAACATATTTCATAGTGGAGGCTAGTATTAGTTTTGGCTGAGATAGTTATGCGCCTATGATGCACTGCCTGATCATTAGTTTGCCTATTGACTAAAAAATCCACATGGGAATCATGGGATATTCGGCATTGGCCTTCCAAGCCTAACCCTTTTGAATGCTCTAGCTAAGCACTGCCAATATCTTTTTCGCCAACAGCACTCATCCATATCCTATTTGCTGTTGAGTATTTGCTCTACGTAAATTTCTGTTAGTCTCTTTATTGGTCAATCTAGTTATATTTTCAAATTGAGCTAAAGGTTGTGTGATAAAGTTAGCATTGAGAAATCTGTCATCAATTTTAGTACCTGAGCTCGCTCCGTGCTATATAGCTTCAGTCTCACACAACTATTCAAAAGTTCAACATCTAAATTTCCATCAAATTTAATTCTGCCAAAATGTTCATCGGTCCAGTCCAAAAAGGTAAAAAACAAAAATATTAGGAAAATAAATAAATATTTGAATAGATATTTCCGTATCTACAAATTAAAATTTTTTTTCCTTTGTAGAACATCTGCACAACATGATCCTAGGCTGTGGCTGGCCTTGCGGGTCGTTGAGCGGTCCCTGCTGCTGCAGCGGTTGCTGCGGCAGTTGTTGTGGAAGCTGTTGCGGTGGGTGCTGCGGCGGCTGCTAACATTGAATGAGGGGGACTAGGACTACACAAGGATCGATGTCAACTGATGTGCAGAAACATATAAAATACATTCACCATCCGTTGTTTAATAAGAAGTGAGGCTGAAAATCGACCAACATTTGAGAAACCGAAGTTGTAATACCTGTGAGCTAAGGAATGGAGTTTATTGCTGCAGATCCCTAAAAAAATAAAACAGGAATGCGGATATAGATATTTTTTAAGATAAGATATTTTTGCATAAGATCAAATAAAAAATGTTGTTGTTTTGAAAAACGAATATTTTAGAGCTTTTCATTACATCTACTAATTTTATATACATTTGAAAATAGCTACAAATGTATAGGCCAACTGAAATATTGAAATATTTTCTATATTTTTTATATATTTATTTTATGTATGATTAAAAATAAACGATATATAATCATTGTAAGTAGATACAAATGTTAAGAACAAAAAAGATTTTTTTATCAAGCCATTTAAGGAAAATTAATCGCATTTTCCTTCGACATGCTTAAAAATTTTACAGTTTGACTTTAGCCGGCAACAGCGGCCGAAGGAACGTCTATTTATTTTTATTTCATTTTCTTTTTTTTTTTTTTTTTTTTTTTTTTTTTTTTTTTTTTTTTTTTTGGCAAATTTCCAGCTACAGTATGTTCATTGGCCCGGTTCAAAAGGGTTTGTATTTACATTTAAATTTAAATAAAAATAAATTTAGAATGTACTTAAGTGATAGAGCACTTGCACGATATGAGCCTGGGCTACGGCTGGCCTTGTGGATCGTTGGGTGGTTCCTGCCACAATAAAAATAAAAATACTGGAATAAATTCAGACACAGCATCAAGACGTTGCTCGATTAGCCATTGAAAAAATAAATATGAATTTATATTAAATATATTTGTTCGTTTCATCTGTGAGATTCACGTTTCTGCCTTCTTCATGCGAGGCTTATTGGGAAATTGTAGCAAATGCTGGTGGGCGCCATGTTCGACGGGGCAGAGCCAGGTAATGCTCAATTTGAGTTTCAGCCAGATGCATGCAATTGTGGTAAGAGTCGGAAGAATGGTTTGGCATTGAAATTTTAATTAGTGTCAAGTGCCGCCCACGAAATATAAATGTGCACAGGGCGTGGCACAATGTTGATGTCAGCAATTGAGTTGATCAAAGTAAATTGCCAGCCAAGTTGCTCATACGCCCCATGTGGCGCATGCAATTATTAATGACTGCTGCAAGTGCAGCAGCGGCAAACGAACAAAAATAAAGAGAAAAAAAAAAGAAAATAGAGAAGCTGCTCTTAGTCCTTCAGCTTTTCATCCTTCCGCCCGGTCTGCCGACTGCCTGCTGACATTTCAATTCATTTCGGATCGCAGTGGTGTCTGTTTTGTATATCACGTATTAGATTGTCGGGGCCAAGTGCCTGGGGAGATGATTTCCATCATTCATTTTCTCCGGCGGGGCGGCGGGGTGGCGGGGAGGCGGCGCGGTGTGTGTCGAGCTGAGTTTTCAGTTGCTGGCAAAAGTGTTGCCACTTTGAATTATGAAGCAAGCGTGTGCCACCTATACTCACACACTCATACACACGCACACACACACGCACTCACACACATGCACAACAGGATGACGCAGCTTTGGGAATAAGCAGCTGAGAATCTGAGTGGCAGGCAAATGAATTGTTTCTGCTCGCATGCCTCCCCCCTCCCCGCTCCTCCTCCCCCTTGCTTACTGAACTTGACTCGACGCCGACAAGCCGAAGCGTTTAATAAGCGCCATATACATCGATATGAATAAGTAATATGAATATGCGCATCTGCGCAAGCCAGAAAGTTAATTGGATGAAAGTGAGCCGACAGCTAGCTGATAGGGGGAGTCAAAGGGCTCGTAAAGAATACACAGTGTGGCTCACACAGCTGGTCAGCACTTTTGGCGAAGCTTAATATAACGTGGGGAGTTACAGATGATACTACTGATACCTTAACAGTACAGATAGTATTTCAATATTTAAACTTTAAAAGTTGTTGCCTTTATTGAGATTCGCTAGCAATAAATCTGTCCTGTTTATGGTCCATGCTTTAGAGTTGGATCTTCGTCTTCAAATGCTTCATATGTGTGCTAAAAAATACTCTGTACCTTATTGAATTCATATACATATATACACTTTTATACGTTTTTTCTTAAATAGGGGAGGTCTGTAGGTCGGGTTTATTGATATTTTGTTTAGATTTTGGTAATTAATGTTTGGTTTAAACTAATTTTACAGCTCGATCATAAATTTGACAGCTAACAGTAAACTGCCATTGCAACGCTTGCAAGTCCTATGCATGGGGCAAACTGGCGTATTCATTGACAGGCTCGAGGTCAGCTCTTGAATATATGCTGGAATGCTAGTTTCAGCAGAGCCTGCATCGCCATGATGCAGAGCATGCCCAGATACACCTTCCAGTTCAATCGCCCCAAGAAGGAGTCGTCGTCAGAGCTGGACGCCAGCATGTGGCGCATTGCATACGACTCTGGCTGAATGCGCAACAATCCTAGGCCAGACTCTGTTGGGGGCTGTACGCTGTCCCTCGCCAAGTCGACGTGCTCGTCGACCCGATCGAAGGTAGAGGCGTTCCTGTGATTATTGTTTTCATGGATGCGCGACATTCGCGCGCGCACGATGCTGCGGAACTGAGGGCGCCGCGGCCACGCGTTGCTTGAGCGGCTCAGATACCGCAACACGTGGCTGCCCACCACGGACACCTTGCGCACCATTTGCGGGCGCTGCTGGACACGCCCGATCCCGAGCGGCAGCAGCAGGAGCGGATGCTGCCTCAGCTGCACACCGTCCCCAACCTGGCTGTACTCCCGAATACTGCCCGTCGTCATCCTGGGGGCCAACAGGTCCTGCATGGCCTGTGGCGTCGTCGCCAGCATCATCGTGGCCATGAAGGCGCTCGGCAGCTGGTCAGTTGCGCGTGATTGGTATCCCAGTGGATTACCAATTGTCGCTTCTGTTCGGGACATGGTAGTTCTGGTGCTGAAATTTCTACTGTACCGGAAATATTTGTTTTTAATTCATTGAAATGTTCGAAAGTCTAATGAAAAGACAGCACCGGGCTGCTAGGTCTTAGACCCGTTTTCGTATATTTATTTAATTTACGAACTTTTAATTTGTATTCCCTGAACCCATCTAAAACGGGAAATCAGGGTATAATGGTTTTGTTAATTGTATGTAACAGGCAGAAGGAATGCCACATGAAGTAATTATATTCTTGATCAGGGCGATGAGCCGATTTAGTTATATCTGTCTGTATATGTGAACACGTCGATGACAGTAGCAATAGGACTTATTTGTGTATTTCCTCAAGGAATTCTCTATGTAGGTAGAGGTAGTTGCAGGCGACCTTTACTGACCAATGGGAGCACGCTCTGCTGCTGCAAGCATTCTCGCTTCGTTTTACTCAAATACAAATACCAAATGAATTGTGCTGCATTAATGCAGACAACTTGAATGATCTGTAGCTCTTCTTCATCCTTTGCTTTGGATAGGTAGACATATAGAGAGACTGACACGTATAGGCTTACCTCTTTATGCTTATCATGAATATACATATACATATGTATACTTGTCTCTATCTCTATCTCTCTCTCGCTCTCATATTTTCGCATTGTCTATATATCACACTCACTTTCCTTCTATCTATCTCTCTCTCTCTCTCTCTTAATCATGCACACATACACATTTCCTATTTCTCTATCACCCTCTCTCTTCTTATCTCTCTCTTTCGAACTACGTTTGCTTCTTTCTCTTGCCGTCTCTCGCCTTTCAACCCTCATCCTTTTTCCTTTTGATCTCTCTCTCTCTCTCTCTCTCTCTCTCTCTCTCTCTCTCTGTCTCATCGTCTCGTAGTTTATCTCTCTATATCTCCCTTTGGAATCTACATGATTCTATTGCCTTATCTCAACCTCTCTGCCCTTACTTTCACTCTCTCTCTCTTTCTCTCTCTCTCTCTCTCACTCTCTCTTCCAGTTTCTTTGAATCCTTCTCAGCATATCAGCGAACCAATCACATTTTGCTTAATTTCTGCTTGCCCCAAAAGATCCATGGTTCTGGAACTCGGGGACGCATGCATCGCATCGCCGTTATACATTTATGCAAATTGTATGCCAACGCTAGCGCGTTAGTGTTAGTGAGCCAGTGTTTGCAACTGTGTGTATGTGTGTGTGTGTGTAGCATGGCACAAGCAGCCCAAACAACTTCATGGCCAAGCCCAAAAATTCACATGCGGCAACCAGTGGCACACATATGACGCAAGTTTAACACGATGCAGCCGAAATAACAAGTGAGCGACACACGCACACGCACACACACACACACGCACATGTGGAGAAACAAGAAGAGATGCAACATACACACACACACCGAGTCGCGTTCATTTTGCGCCTTATCTGTGGCCGCAAGTGTTGCAAGTGCTCGCCGCAGCGACTGAAATTATGCTAATTTTTTGGCTTTTTGTGGGGCAGAGGGCTGCAGCTGGCGCAGCGGTTGTTTTTGTTGCCACAGGACATTGAAATTTATAAGCAAAGCGAGATGGGAAGCGGGCGATGCGAGTAATGGCCAGCAGTTGGAGACGCGCTGCTGATAACGTGGCATTAATAACTGCCGCTCGGGCGACTCTCTTGGATGATTGAACATTTTGCAACGCGCATTTGCTTATCTAGGCAGCCACCTACACGAGTCTCCACTGTGCCACTTGCCCACTATTTGTTGCTCATTTGGGAGCTAAGCAAAATGTCAAGCTCTTGCTTGTCCTTCGGCTCCTGATAAACTCTTGACCGCCTTTCCACAGTGCGTGCCCATTGGTCCAGCTGGCCTTTGCCTTTGCCTCTCCCTTTTCCCTTGCCATTCCCTCTGCCTCTGCCTCTGCCTCTGCCTCTGCCTCTGCCTCTGCCTTCGCCTTTGCCTTGCTCTGGCCATTGCATATTCAACGTTTTGTTCGTGAAGCCTTTGAAAATTTCAAAACTTGTCCTGGTCAACTCTCCAGCGGCTACTTAGAGTACCGTCAAGTGTTGCATTTACACAAGAATTTTACTCTTTCTCTGCACTTCTCCCTCTCTCTCTCTCTTTCGCTGACTATCTCTATCTCTGGCTATTGCTGTGGGCAATGCATGAATGTGCTGCCAAATTGCGCAATTTTTGTTGTAAAGAGAAATAATAAAATAAAAAAAAAAGACAACACCAACTATGTTTTTGGCCTTAGTTATCTCTTGCTTAGTAATAATAGAAATGAGGACTCAATACAGCTCAACTTAACTCCCTGCTCGAATACTCTATTGTTACACAAATCGATAGCTAATGTCATTAAATCTGACTTTCGAGCTCCTGTTGGGCACTCGAACTGTGAGAAACTTGTGATGTCGGACTGGCAGCCATCTGCACATTTATATGTCGAATGACAGTTCTGAGAATTGTTCAGAAGCGCACCAAATCATTTAAATTAACACAAGAAACAGCCAGAAGCAGCGGAACTCAAACGAAATAGTGTAATTGCATTATATTTGACTGGATAAGCACAATTGGCGATTGCTCGTGAGCTCAAGCACCTCGAGCTGAGTTGAGCTTTTGATTATCTAATATGTATTAAATTCGCGATGGCATTGAGCGTCTCCTGAGAAAATCACATTGAAGCGTATGTCAAACACATATTGGACATATGAGAAGACAAAAATGTCTACAGCACACTCATTCAAGGTCAAAATGCGAACGCAAAAATATGGAAAATATATTAGTTCTCTGATGTTTCAAGTCCCCAAGACGCGGTTGTAGTTTAGCTTCTCGCTTGTCGCTGTAAAACTGTTAAAGGTCCTTAAGGGATGTCTTCGAGTAACGTTACTGTAAAATGTTGGAGGCGTCACTCCCAAACAAATTACAGGGTATTATGTCAAGCCCCGGACAGCCATAGCTCGAACTAAACTGAAGTAGACATAAGCGATTGCTGCTAGCCACGCTCCTAACTGGTTTCAGCCTTATAGGAAATCTGATCAATAATAAATTATAAAATGAATATAATTCAATTTGATGACAAATAATAAAATTTACGCAAGGTCAAACCTCTTAAGTTATATTAGAATAATATTCTTTTGTATCTATATTCATTCTGCCTCATATAAGAAACATAAAAGCCATTTAAGCTCGAAGCATCTCGGCCTTTTTTTATGTTTACACATGCGTCCTTGAAAAGTATTTGTACTACATAGACACAGCGCACACACACACACACACACACACATTATATATGTATGTACATGTGTATTCATTTTGATAATTAACGCCCTTTCCAGCCAGCTCTAATCAGTCTTGGGAGAGTTTTATAAATTTGTGAATGTGCCAAACGCCTCATGCACATTCAAACACATACATTCATATACATATACATATGCATATATATAGTGCACATATTTTTGTTTTATTTAGGCAGCAATTGCGAGAGCAAGTTGGGAGCCAGCTTGCAATTTGCCTTCGACTTGGCCAAAAGCTGCCAAACGGGCCGATGGCTACAATTAATTCGACTCGGTCAATGGGTGGCTGACTAGAAGTATGCGATGCATACCCACACACACACAAACACACTCACACTCACACACACACAGAGTGCCTGTGCTGTCGATTGTGCTATTTTGCCTGATTTGCTGATTTCACACACACACAGAGACGCCTTTACCACACACACTCACGTATATATGCATATATATGTAGAAACTCTCACGCACACCTCGATAAAAAACTTTTGTTTTGCATTACACTATGCAACAAAAGTGGCCGCAACTTTGCGCAGTTGTTGTGTTGTAACGCCCCGGTCCAAGTTTGGTTAATGAATGGCAGGCTTAATTATTTGGCCAAAGGGGACTCGTGTGGAGCCATGGAGCCGTGCCGCTGCCCACAATCAGCACCAGCCGATGCTCCATTGTTATGTATATTGCTTGGGTTCACAGCAGAGCTGCTCCCGTCTGGCCCCCTCTGCCGGCACGGGCTCTGGGTTGCTTTTAATAATTGTTTATATCAGTCCGACTCAACTTTTTGCTCTTATTTTTTTTTTTTTTTTTTTTTTTTTTTTTTTTTTTTGTATTATTCCGTATTCCGCTTTTTCAGCATTGTTTAAATATTCCGAGCAAAGTTTCAATTGTGTGCGTTTGTTGTTGTTGCATATTTTATCCATTGATATTGTGCTGGCAATTGGCTGTTGATTTTCCGTTTTGTTTTCTCCCTGCCTTTTATAGGCTAATTCACATTGCATATTTAATTAAATGTTTTTATTTAAGTTCGGTTTTGTATTCATTTCCGATCAATTACGGTGGAAACGGAGCTCCAGCAAAGGCTTTGCCTCACTTCACTTGAGCTGCTGTTGGCTGCTTAATTAAATGCAAAATAAATATATATGTACATATATACAGACGATGTCCAAGACAATTTCCAATGCTTAAAGGCTTAAAAAATTCCAAAATTTAATTTCCAATGAAAGTGCGGAAGGAATAAGTCATACGGATTGTGGGAGTGGGAAAGGTAATTCAATAAGATGTCAAATAGAGAGTTAAGATTAAATAATATGTATAATATCAGCAGAGTTTAATACAATCCCCATTTCAGATAATGCAAGCCATTCAAGCAGCTTTATAGAAGAGCTCGATTAAAGAATTATCTTTTTCTCTGATTAGACTTTGGAATACTTTAAAGTCCAGAAGAAACTGTAGTAGGAGCTATGATAGAATTAGGATCTGCCTTTCGCTTCATTAATGTAGCACTTTACAATAAAAACTTTGCTTACGACACGATCAAAGCTTGAAGCATCAAATGCTGACTCAAATTACGTATACCATTTATTTCGTTGTTTGTTATTTGGACCTGCTGACTGTTTCTGGCTGATTCACAATTTATTCAGCCATCTGGGAGCATAGCGCAGCACGTAGTGCCCGCCCCAGAGCGAACGCTTTGAACTCGTTCGCCTTTATTTGCAACCCCGTATGAAATATTTGCCCGATTGCCCGACACTTCATCAAGTTCACGCGTATAACAAATCGATGCACCTGCGCGCTAAACACACCTGACAGAGCACACGCCTCACGCTCCAGCCGCGCCTCTTCCCGGCTGACGCCCACTCGGTAAAGCCAGACAATTTGGCAGCCAAGCTGGCTAGCTAAGCACCGAGCAAACCACCCAGCTGGGATTTCAATGCGTCAACGTCTCTGTCTGCATCGCTTGTCATGCATTTTACGCATGAGAAAATATTTTCAGTTAACAAGTCCGGGGGTTGAGCTAAAAAAAAAAAACCAGAAAAAAAGTGGGTAAAAAATAAAAACAAAAAAGAAACCAATGCAAAGTGCACAAGGAAGTGCACATAAAAATAAATCGAAATAAGGCGAGCACAGTAACAAACGATGCACCATGCCAACAAGCAGCGGCGGCAGGCGCAGGAGCGAAGGAGCTGCGGCAGGATCCGGACAGGACAGGACAGGACAGCGGCTGGTAGCAGGGCGCCGACATGGACTGGTCGGTCATTGCCGCTCGGTCTTGTTTATTGTGCGATATGATATGAATGACACGTGACTGAGAGACATTCAGGAGCAGCTACGAGAGAAGGAGCAGCAGGAGCAGCAGGAGCTGCAGGAGCAGTCAGAGCAGCAAAAATTATGAAATTTAGCGCAAGCCGCAAAACAGCAGCTACAAAAAACCAACCAACAGCAGCACATACACACACACACACGCACATATACAGAGACACAGACAGACAAGCAGTTGTATGACAGCTTTGCCATATCGCACCTGGTGCACACAAACCGATAGCACCCAAGCGGACTCGATGGCATGCCAAACGCACAGCCGACAGCTGCAGGTTTACATTGTAAGTTTTGATTGCGATTGTAGTTTATATGAGAATAACGAAATTTAAAGCAAGAACCGATGCATATGTAATTAATTTAAATCAACTGTAAATTACTATTTATCATATATATTAATGAAAAATTGTGAACATATTTATAAAGTTTATTTTCTATTGTTTTTCTTTTTTATAAACTGTATTTTTTAATTTTTTAGTAGATTTTATACTAATTATAATTTTACTTTCGAGAAATTTAATGGAGATTTTATTTTAACTTAATATTTTTAGTTTAAAAAAATTTTTTTTTTAAATAATAATTTGAAAGAAATCAATTTAAAATTGAATTTAATTTTATTATGTATTATTATTATTTTATTTTTTATTATTAATATTTTTTTTTTTTTAAGTTACTTTAATTGACTTGCTTATAAGTAATTTAAATATTATTTTAGTGTAGATTTACGTACATTAACATTACACTAAATTCATAAATTAATAATTAAATAAAAAGTTTATTCAATAATTTCATCAATATATATATATATATATATATATATATATATATATATGTATATGTATTTATTTAATTCATATTTAATCTTATAATGTTTTGCTCTTAAAAGATTTCTTACACTTCCTTTTGGGTAACTTAGACTTTGCATGTATGTGTGTGTGTGTGTGTGTCTGTGTGTGCGTGTGTGTGTGCTGATACATGTGACGGCCAATGCGCTTAGAACTTTCATTTCGTTTGGCGCAAATTGCTTAACCACAATGCATTTGTGTGTGTGTGTGTGTGTGTGTGTGTGTGTGTGTGTGTGTGTGTGTGTGTACACATACGGCAGCTCACACTCACTCTCTCGCACACATACATAGACAGCGGTTGCACTCGCATATTGTGGCATTAGCAACGTCAGCCTTGTGACGCTTCTTTCTCCTTCTCCTTCCGTCCGACACTTTACAACACTTGCAAGGTGTCGCCAGCAGCTGTTGCTTAACGCAACCGCCAACGGTTTAACGCTTTGCTGCGCTTTTTTCTTATGCTATCCCATGTTTTCATCTTTACACACATCACACAAACGCACACACACGCACACACACACACACATGCATCAGTCATTTGCAGTTGCTAGGCAGGCGGCGTTGCGTTAGCAGCCGCAAGTCGGTGGTTGGGTGGCTCAGCTGTGGTTTGGCTTTCATTCATGCCACACAAATTAGTAGCTATGTAAATACGGATGATTCAGCAGCAGCAGCAGCAGCTGGCGAAATTTCAGATGAGCACAGATCGACATTAAATAGAGATAAATCACACTCTGATATCTAAGCCCTGAAGGTAAGAATCAGAGTTGATTAATTCCATTAATTATTCTGTAATAATATGTGTAATATACATGTGCTTACTTTAATTTTAAAAATTTGCTGAGAACCGAATTAGATTTTATTTAAATTACCTGCTGCCATCATCGAGGAGACATATAAATCATTTGTGCGCCGATAAGTAGGCAACACATTTGTCTGCTGCCTCGAGACGCGTTTTAAGCTGCGCTGTAAGCTCTTATGCTGCTGTGTGCCCAAGACGCGTCTAATCTGAGCCGTCTATAGACGGCTTACGTATTTGTATGCATAAGTGTGTTTGCATGGCATATTTAAGCTGAAAATGAATTTCATCTGAAGTATTTGTAATCGAAAAGCAGCTCACAGCGGATTGTGTTTGTGTCAAGCAGATATTTGAAAGGAGCGGAGCCAAAAGACACTTTCAGAAATTTAAGGCCAGTTAGTTAACTAAATACTTGAGAATTTTCCCCTGCAGTCCAGTTGCTTGCTATAAACTGACCAATTTCCTCTCCCCCTCTCTCTCTCTGTCTCTGTCTTTCTCTCTCTCTCTCGCACTCTCTGCTCTGCTCTGCAGAATGCTTGAGACATGTTTTGTTGTCACTTTTGTTTGTCTGTTGACTCAGCTGAGTCTCGAATGCCTGCTGCCTGTTTTGAGGTGATATTAAATTTATGTCTACAGACGCATTTATAACGCATACGCCACGGGGTACCAGGGCAAGCAAGTTGATTAAATTTAAACTTTCCACAATTTTGTGGATACACTTTGTCCACACTCTGCACAAATATCCTTGACAAATATTTTAGTCTTTTGTTGCAGCTACGGCAACACGCACAAGTGCATCTACACACACACACACACACAGAGAGACACGCACACATTAAATTACCATTGTCTGCTTGCCTCGGGCAGCTGCACGGCGTTTCACCTATATGCGTGCTGTGTCTGTTCAATTGACAAAGTCGCACAATTGCCGGCCTGCTGCAGGGTAATTGTAATTAATTGACACAAAATTATTATCTGAGGCAAGTCCATGGCGTAGGCCATCGGCATGAGCATGTTTTGGCTATACTCATTGAAATTAATGCCAGGCCAAATTCAAAAGATAAATAAGATGATGATTAATGGCAAAATATGTGCGGCTCGAGTGGAGCACTGAAGCAGCTCGGCTCGCCTTTAATTAGAGTCTTTAGCCAGTAAAGTGAGCCAATTAAAATTCTGCTTTTCTACGCTGCACAGTGAAGACTCTCAACTAACACTCAATGAGATAAGTTGCCCTATTGATGGCTAATTATATTTATTAACTGCCAATTTAATTGAATTATCATTAGTTAAACTTTTTTTTATTCTCTCTCTCCTTTGTACTCTCTCTCTCTCTCTCTCTCTTCTTCTCTTTAATGTATGAGTAAAACGGAAATGAATTTCAGCGTTAGTTCTGCTTGACCCATTTAATACACACACACGCCCACACACACTTGTAAATATATATTTATATTAATGTGAGTGTTTGTGTGTTTAGCGGTCATTGCGTTTGCCTCTTGTATTTATTTACTGAAACTAAAGCCAAGTTTGCGCGCTTTGCGGTTTTCTGTGGCAAGACGGCGAAACTGTCGTTAATAAATTAGCAAAGGGATATCTTTGAATAAATATAAAAAATTAAAACACTTCACATTGATAAACAGGACAATAACTATTTTTAAATCTATATATAAAATAAATAAGAAAATATATTCTGAAATCAAAGCTAACTGCAATCGATTATTTATTTATATAACAAAAACTAAATTAAATGAAAGCACTGAGGAATCCTTTGGCTTCAACTGCTGCAATTATTGTAGGCTTATTTCTGACTTCAATAACTCAAATTGCTGTTGAGCTGAGCTAGCTTTATAATGAATTGATACCACAATTTGCATCTGCCCTTAGCAGACTGTGCAGCACTCAAAAAAAATGATATGCCCCACGTCAAATCCGAATACCTTCAGCAATCTCAGCAAGCCACGTGTGCGGCTCTTTTGTTGTTTTGTTAGTCATGTAACAGATTTTTTATATACGTATTTTGCACAACACTTAATTTCAAGAATAATAAAACAGAAAACTAATCAGAGGAGGATGGGGGACCAGAGGCAACGTAGTTTGAAGGAGCTTGTCCACACAATGCTGTTCATGCTAAGTCGGCAGGAGTTCCACGTGCACCAGATCAGATCCGAGAAGCAGCGGCTCGTCAAATCGATCAACAAGTCGGCACCTGATGACCGCAAAATCGAGCACCTGAAGCTCATACGGGAGTACCAACTGCTATGGGCCGAGAGTACGTGGTGTTTGAAAAAGCAACAGAAGAAGCTCAAGAAGTATCTAGAAGTTAACCCGCATCTCAACGGATTGGAGCTGTACCAGCAGGCTGTTAATGCCCTCAAGGATATGCGCATCCCAACCAAGTAACTGTAAGAAAGAAAAGTCTCATCTGTTTTTGTATTATGCCCAGAATGGACCAAATTGTGTAAAGTTGAATTTGTAGTAAGCCTGAGTGGGACATCGTAATAAAGACGCCGTAGTTTGTAATGCCGTAATATCAATAGATACAATAAAAGATTTTCGATATGACAGGGAAAGGGGAGAAAGAGCAGGGGTGGATCATCTTGCTCTAGATATGGATTATGGATTCAATATCTTTGTGATTCATTCGACAAATTCTCAGTGCAGCGCATGCTACCTTTGCTTGTTTGTGTACAGGGTATCGGCTAACCGCTTGGCAAAGTAATTTCGACTTGACCACAAGTTACGCTGGCCAGCTGAACGTAAAAGCTGAAGAAAGAAAGTTTAGAACAAGCCGCGGCGCCGCAGAAATTAAAATAAAGTGCCAAGAAAGTAAAAGGCAGGCCACATTCGTGTTGGCCATCTTGAAGTTGGCCAGCAGCAAAGCCAAAGCTCGCCCAACTCGCAACTTCCGTTCTTCGTTGCAACTTTTGCCTCTTTACTGTTTCACTGTTTCACTGTTTGCAAGTGCGTAAATGGGCCTTCGCTCTCGCCCACCTGCCACTGCCACGCCTCGCTTTGCACACTCGCTCCCTCTGCACTTTTGATAATTTTTTAACTCATTTTGCACTCGAGGAACACAACAACTGACGCGAAGGCTACAGCTTTTCACCTTTTGACGCTTGTTCCTCGAATCGGACAAAGGCGAGTGCAAAGTTCTGCCTGGCCCGAAAGTCGCCCAAAAGTTGCGAGCTCCTTCATACACCACGAGGACATTTGCAGCTATTCAGGTTAAGAGTCAAATTATGCAATTTACGCTGACTGAAGAAATAAACCATGTCCGGCAGCCGCGAAGCAAACTTACGGCTCTGCGTTAAGTGGATTACGAAAGCTAAGAAACACAGCCCGAGCTGAGCTAGCCACAAAGCCTTCATGCATTTGCTACACACAGTTCATTATTTAAGGCGCAAACATTGATATTATTATGCCATATTATACCTTTATTATTATTAAGCAAAGCTCAGATTACCGCCATTTTCAATTATTTCTTGAAGAGATCGTTCGGCTGTTACATGAAAAGTCCAACTCTACTCCAGGCGATTCTCTTCTCAGAAAACAAAAACGAATGGAAACGAAGACTCTTGCTCAGAGCCTTAAGAGAGAGAGAGAGAAAGAGATAGAGAGAGAGAGACAGAAAGAGATAGGAGATCTTATGATTTTTTCGGTCGACTACGCAAACCGAGCGTAAAGAATCAAACGATCAACTACTTAATCATAAATGTGAATTGAATGCTTACCATATTCATTTATATTTCCTGTTGAAGCTCAAGAGTGCTACTTCCAGGTATATCACAGGCATTCAAATATGTACACATAAATATTGTTACGCACATAAATGTCAATTATATTTTGGATATTCATAAATCTAAATCTGATCCATGGCAAATGCTTATTTGTTCTATCAACTCTTATAATAATGTATTCACAATTTCCGCTTGCAGCATAACAATCTCAACAACGAATTTAATATACTTAAAGTACATCAAGCTGTAAGCATAGATATTGGGCATATATATGCCAAAAGTATTTTGCATATTCATAAATATAAATCTTATCTAAATTCTCAATTTATTCTCATGCTTACAGCAATCCATTCACATTTCCTGCTTTAGGTCAACAATCCTATGGAGAGGTATACAAGGTGCATATATATCGAATATAGTTTGCAAATTACAAATATAAAATTGATGCTCAGCAAATCAAGCAATGCATTCAGTTTTCCTGTTGCAGTTTAGCAATTCTTAATACTAATACAAAAACACTTTTCAGATATCCGTTTTACAATTCAACATCAACAATCTGCGCTCAGCGCATTGATGCGTTCGATGAGCACAGCCTTGGTTGCGGTTTTTGCTAGCTTTACGCCGAAATGCTGATCGAGTATGTAGCGCAGCTGCTGGGCGGTGCAGGCGCCCAGTCGATTATCCTTGATCAGCAGCTCCACGAAGTCGTAGCTGCACAGCTGATCCTGCTCAATTTTGGCCACTTTTGGCGCACTGGCCTCGTCGGCGTTGGACTTGGCCGCACGCTTTTTGGCCGGCTCGACTTCGGGATCAAACAACGTCTCGTAGAGGGGCAGAAGCTTCTCGATGCGCTTGTTCTGCATCGCCGGATCGGGCAGCTGGCTGAGACCGTCGTCCTCGGTCTTGAAGTCCAAGGCCAGAGCCAGCAGATTGGACTGCAGCACCTCCAGATTGGGGTCGTTGATGAGGTTGGGCTGGTAGTCGACGCTCAGCTTGCGGATCACCTTCTGGAAAAAGTCGACGCCCTCGTCCGTTGCCGTGTTGGCCGTGCTGTTCCACTCGCACATGTCGATTTGCCGTATATGCTTCGCCTCGGGCAAGTAGACGATCTTGAAGCCATCGCCCGAGAGCAGCGAGCGATAGTTCTTGTCGTCCGGCTGGGCCGCCTCCACGGGCACCAGCGCCACGTAGCGCGGCACGGACTTGCGCTTGCACATGAACAGACAAACCGCAATCTTCTCGCGCTCCAAGCAACGCTGCCAGAGCGCGCGGAACAGTCGCTTGGAGCCAATGATCTTCTGATCGTCCGGGTACATAAAGCTGCACGGCTTGCTGTAATAATTGCTAGGCAGCTTGGAGCGGTGCTTGAAGCCCAGCAGCATCATGCCAGGCGGATGCAAATCGCGCACGCGATTCATCTGCTCCGTGGACACACGAAGTGTCTCCTCGCCTATCTTACACTCGTACCAGCCGCCCGTCATCTTGATCTGGTACTCGTGCGTTATCTCCTGCGTCTCCTCATCCTGCTGCCGCACCATAATCTGCCGCCGCTTGCGCACGACGCTGTTGTCGCGCCGCATGATGTGCACCTTCTGCGGATAGGCGCGCCGCTGGAAGTAATTGTAGTACTGCACCGATATATCTAGATTGGGGCCCAGCGAGAGCGTAAAGTGACCCAGGCAGCGACGCAGAAAGTCTTGCCTCAGTTTGCGATCCTCCAGGATCTCGCGCTGCAGCTGCGCGTCCGGCACGCGAAAGGCGTCTATTTCGATGGCTAAAGAAAAGAGAGAAATGTTAATAGGGACATTTACAGATTTGCACATCCAGTTTGCTTCAATCAAACACAAACCCATCCCTCCCACTCCTATCCTACACTAGCTCTGGCAATACTTAACAGCAGGTTCTTTATTATCTGCAAATACTTATTGTTTATCAACAGCCCTCTGCGGTCCGTGCGTCTGTTCTTGTTCGCCCGCTCATTCAACACTCCATTTGCCTGTTGGTTAACCAGTCCATTCATCGATGTCTTTTTTGCGGTTTCTTCTATCCGTCCTTACCTCCTGCGAGAACAGCATCTGTCCATCTGTACCTACCTACTGTACTGTACTATCTGTAGACTTCATTTATGAAGTCTTTGCGCTCCCCCCTCATATGTCTATCTGTCCATTCTTTATTCGTTCTTTGGATAGATCGGGTTTTCCTAACCACTTGATTGAACAACTTCACATTCATTGCTCTCTTTCGCTGCCTCTTTTATTATTAGCTGTAGTACCAGCTTCAGAGCCGTCGCTACCTTAAGCATAAATAGTAATTTTGTGAGCAAATTCAAAAGCGCAACCCAATAATACTTCAGTTGGATGCGGGTGAAACATTTGCACTGATTGCTCTGCGACATCTTGAAACCTTTCTGGCTACAGCTGCACACCAGCAAGGGGAACAAATGTCGCATGTGTAGCGAGTCTTATATCCTTAGGACCTACCTCTCGACAGCGTTATGAACTCCTTGTAGAAGGGCTCGTAGTCAAAGTCATCGATCATGGGAATCACCTGGAACTCGAACTCTTTGCCCTCCAGATCGCTGGCCTTTTGCAGAGCAGTTTGAAACTCTGGGCTGGACGATGGGTGCGGCTCCTCCACGTCCGTGATGTACACGATCTTGGCATTGTTCAGTTTCTTTCCGCACTTCTCAAGCATCTCGATGCACAGACGAATCATCTGCGCAAAGCTGCCCCGCCCGTCGGGCTCAGCCAGGCCGTACTCCTTGGGGAACAGCTCTTCGGCGTTCTGCATAAAGTCCATGTAGTGCTCCACTATGGCCTTCGTCAGCTGGCGCAGCGGCAGGAAGATGGCGCAGTTCGCCGATACCGTTATGTTCTCCAGACACTGTACCTCCTGCGGCGGCGGGCTGTGCTTGGTGTTGGCAAAGACGAGGCCCATTAGATCCTTGCCGTTCACCAGCATGCCGGAGATGAAAGCACCGCGTATTAGCCTAAGCGCGTCCATGAAGCGCTCTGTCTATAATGTTTCGCTTTAATATACAAATTTCTTTCTGTGTATTCCCATTTACCTCCAGATTCGCGTCTACCACGAAAAGTATGGCTTCGCGTCCATGGAAATCGCGCTTCATTGCAATCTCATCCTCGGAGTCGGTTAGCTCCACATCCTGATCGGGGTCCCAAGTGCTCATGCTGAATTTTAATTTGTTCTTCAACTGCAATCGCGCGAATTTCACAACGAAAACAATTAAAAGGCGCCGGCTGCAAGTACTGTGTGACCGTTTGCCAGCTATATAAAAAGAATCACTGTTATAGGAGCTGTAAAATAATAGGCTAATGGTGCCATTTGAGTAACATTAAAATTGTCAATAGAAAGCGCTATGAGCTCAATTAGGGAATTAGCGCCATCTATATGTAAAACTCGTTTCCCACTGTTATTGATAACAGCACTTTAACAGTGGTGCGTCGAGTGAAGCTAGCTGCGCTCGAAATTGCGCACAGCCGTTAGGTTGGCTGCGATTTGTGCACACGTAAAGTTTGCTTTGGCGGGAAACTTGAATTTAATAATTTGCATTTGACATCTATTAAGTTGTTAATAGTGGCTGTGACCTTATTATCCTCTAAATAATTTATTTGTTAGGACAGGTAAGTTGAATATTTAAAATTTATTTGCTTATAAGGCAGTAGAGAACCACCAGCATTAACAGACCATATGAAACATTTAATGAACTCGCTGCAGACTTCTGCTTCTTCACGGTTTTGGAAAGCAAAAACACTTGTGCTGGGGCTTGCTGAACTGGATGTGCAGGTTGTGCTATGGGAGCAGTTGCATAGGCAAAAGTTAGAGAAGAATGCGGATTCTTAGCTGCAGCAGCAGAGGGCGCAGGAGCAGGAGCTGCAGCAGGAACAGGAACAGCTGGCACTGAAACTGGAACTGGGTTGGGGTGATCCAGAGTGGTCACGGTAAGGGTTCCATTTAAATGCGTGGCATTGACAACTGGAACGGCGGCTGCCACCACATGAGCAGCCACTGGCGCCGGGGCAGGAATCACTGGATACACGGATGCAGCTGGGGCTTGGGCAACGGGTAGCAAGTGCACATGTGCCGGCATCGCCGGCTGTGGTGCAGCTGCTGCCGGGCGCGGTGGACAGACCAGGTGAACCGTTTCAGTGTAGTGCCGCGGGTGACCAGGAACGGGCTCCTTGATCGTCTGCTTGTAGCAGCCATTGGCATCGGGCACTCCGTTCTCCACCACCTGGGCAACGGGTGCAGCGGCTGGAGCAGCTGCTTTCGATGAGCCCGGTGCCTTAGCCACGGCATGGCCAATGGCAGCGCCCGCCAAGGCGCCGCCGAGCAGACCCAAGCCTGGGAGGAGAGCGGGATCTTTAGTTATGAATCAAAGGAAAAGTCGACACTTCCTTACCAAAGGCGCGCTTCCGTCCGCGCACTGGATACGCCTGGCTGCCCCCGAGGAGCAGCACTCCCAGCAATAAAACCTTGGTTAGCTGAGCTCTGAACATCTTAAAATTCTTTCTTTCGCTTCGCACACGGCAGTCGGTTAGGTTCTGAGTTGAGATCACGCTGAGTCAACTGCGACAAGTCGGAATGTTGTTTTGGACTCGATCAAATATTTGCACAGTTGTTTTCTTTGCCATCACGAAATGTGACTTAATTTTAGATGCCACGCCTCGTCAGCACGCTCATTACCTTTTCTAAGATCAAAGCAGAACGCAAAAGCAAAAACATTTTGGCCCGTTCAACTTTTCACCATTCTTCACGCTGATAGTAAAACATTCTAAACTAGTTTCGTTTTGGTTTACATGCATAAAAACATCGATAAGGAAATATATTTAAAAAAAATGCATGTCAGAAAATCACAAAGGTTAATAGATTTTAAAACCAAAAGCTACCAAGAGGGAATTGTAAGTATTCAAAGTTACGGAATTATAAAGAACAGTTAGATCTGCGGAAAAGGCCAGCAGTGGTTCAGTTTGCTCTTGTCACAGTTTAGACGCATCCCTTTTATCTCTCCCTACTAATTGAATTGATGAATATTCCTGAAGCTCTATTCTATTTCTATTTCTTCTTTACCTACCGCATTTGATTACGTTCTTAATAAGGAAACATGTTTTTAAGACTCAAGCTTTATATCACAGTCTCTCAGTTCGTTAAGGTCATTCAAACACGGATTGACGGACAGACAGTAAAGTGGATTCTTTCAGGGCGCCGAAATATAAGATAAGACATAAGATTCTATCTAATCGGAAGAAGAAGGGGACGGACACTAAACGATGCCCACGATGAGAGATCGGATTCGGATCTAATAGTTTCACGTAGACAACGAACCATCCCTTAAACAGGTTGAACAATATCTACTACTAATTATTACCATTTCTACTACTACTTTTGCTACTGATATTACTACTACTACTACTCCCACTATTGCTACTAGTAATACTTCTACTACTAGTAATGCTTCTACTATTACTTGAAGTCGTAGTAATACTACTATTGCTACTACTACTATTGCTATTACTACTATTGCTACTACTACTACTGCTGCTACTACTATTGCTACTAATACGACTACTATTATTGCGTCAACTACTATTGCTACTGATACTACTATCACTACTTCTATGACTACTACTACTACTATTGCTACTGATACTACTATTGCTACTGCTATTGCTGCTGCTATTACTACTACTACTACTGCTACTACTGCTGCTACTACTACTATTGCTACTACTACTATTGCTATTACTACTACTGCTACTACTACTGCTACTACTACTATTGCTACTACTACTATTGCTATTATTACTACTGCTACTACTGCTGCTACTACTACTACTACTAGTACTACTTCTACTACTACTACAAGTACCACTACCACTACCACTACTACTATCGCTACTACATTCCCTAGGGCGGCATACGATCTTTTTCGGAATGTGGAACTACTTTCACGCCCCAAATTAAGTGTCTTCCAATTGTACGACTATCGCAAAGTCTGAAGTCAAAAGAAAGGCCAGTGAATGGGGCATGCAAAAGGCCAGATGCATGCTACGTGCAGACATCGCATTTGTGGCAGACGAGCTGAGTTAAGTGTGATTTGAGCCAACCGAAATAACCAAAATGGGGAAAAAACTTTAATTATTTAATGAGAGCAAGTCGCACTGCTGCTGTCCCGCTCGCACCTGCTGGCTGCGTATGCTCAAGTGTTTTTAAAGTAGTTTTTTTTTTTTTTTGGGCATCATGGCTGTCGAGACAGCAGCCGCAGCAGCTGCCACATTGCATATGGCACGTGAGGTATTCCATTTAATTTTGATAATTTTGTGGCCGAAAAAAGGACACGCAAGTCGGCTTGGGTTGAGCCAGAGCCAAGTGCTGCTTGGCTCTGAAAGCGGGCTTAAAGCAGCATGGCTCTGACTAATGGGAATCGGGGCGTTAGAGCGCATAATTCGACTGGCCAAAGGCTAGAGCAAAGTGCCCCATCATCGGGCAGAGGGAAAAGCTCGAGTCATTTGTATCGCGGGATTTGCTGGCGCGCCTTTAATTTGCTTAATAAATATTTGTTCAGCCATCGAGTAGCCATCGAGGTGTAGCTGGCCAGGACTCGGGCCGTATCCTGGCTGGGACAATTGTCAATTGCAGAGCGCTTCTCGCTGACTGCCAGAGGGTTGTGCGCTGCTCTTCAGCTCGCACCGAGTTGCGGGCCATAAATCATTCGTAACGCCGAGCGATGACGACGAAGATGTCAGACACAGGATGCGGCAGGGGCAGGGGCTGGGGCAAGGGCAAGGGCAACGAGTAACGGGCGCAAGGCGTTGCAGCGTCTTTGCTCTTGATGGACATTCAGGCCTGGCGGCCAAAACAGTGTGTCTCACACACACCCACACACCCACACACGCACACACACAATAGACACTTGGCTGCCTGCAAGGATAATGACGCGCAAATCGAGCCCCATCAGCAGTCGCTGTCGCTGTCTCTGTCGCTGTCTCTGTCGCTGTCTCTGCTTTGTTTCATGTTGTTGTTGCTGCTGCTGTTGGCTTTGCTTTTAGTTGCCTCGATTATCCTTAATGCGACTCACTTTGTTAGAAACGTCAGTCGGCCTGCAAGCGCCATTATCATCACATTGTGCCTGGCCAAAAGGAACAAGAAGCTGACAGAGAGGCCAAAAGCGAACGAAAAAAAAAAACAACAACGGAAAATGTTGAAAATGTGCAGACACGCCGGCAGCAACAGCCCCCTCGGCCCTACAGCCCCACTCCCATCTGCAGCTCGTCGTAGTCCCAGTGAAATGTGTCCAGAAATGCACGAAAATAAAGATAAAACATGACAGGCAGTTCACATTCAGTCATTTATAATAAGCCAAATATGACCGCGACCGCGACCGCATGTGGCTGCGACTCTACTTTATTCCTATAGCTGTCCCTCTCTCTTTCCATCCCTCTCTCTCTCTCTCTCTCTCTGTGTCTGTATATCTATCGCTTCAAGCTGACTCGCACAGTTAATCAAACGCTCAGCCTCAAGTAAAAGTCTCTCTAGAGTAAGTGTTATATGATTTTTTAAGGTTTGCTTTCAATGGCCAAGAATTAACTTTAGTTGACTTGGCTAAGGAATGCGTCATTATAAGGCCACGTGGCACTCGGATCCGTACAAACATAAACATATAAAAAATTCGTCATGCAAATATCATCTAAAGCAACTACAATTCAGTAAATAAATAACAAATCTTAAAATTCATGCTATATGTTGAGCCAACATTGAAATGGTATATCACAAATTATCGCAAGCATTGATAAATTTTTGCTAGTATAAAGATACCACATATCGTTATATAAATGATATGGGCTAATCTCTTAGCTGTGACAGTTGGTAGTAAGCTAGTGCTTTTCCTGCTTTTCCTCAGAGATATCAGTTATATTTAAAACTATCATTAGTTATTTGTTTATGTGTTCATAATAAATAGAAAGTATCTTGTAATTATGCAAGACTTGTATGAAATTTCATGCAATATCACATATATTGTTGTAAGATTAAAAGTCTCATAAATGAAATGAAATTTAAATCAAACAAAATATATAGCCAATATAGTCAGGGAAATTGATGTTCATATGAAAGTGGCACAACAAGTATTTGATACTTAAAGCCAATAATTAAAATAAAGGAATCTTTGCGTTTAAATATTATTGTAAAGTATATAAAAAAATAGTATATCAATTTAGCTTAATCCATTCCTGATTATACTTTTGCTCATAAATTCCTTCTTCAGCTCATCTGCCAGCCTGATTACTTGGCCATGATATATAAGTATTATAGACTCATAATATATTGTCTTCAGCTACAGCTTTGTTTTAGTAGAAACAAGAAATTAGTAAGAATTGATATTTTAATATATTTTTTGTTCGTTTGTATATTATAAATATATATGAATATATTTATGCCATAAATCCTATACACTCACACTTTTACTGAGCTGCATTAAACATTTAAAGATCTGTAAGTCAACAGAAATCAAGCCAAATATATTTATAGTTTCGATTGAGGTCTACTCATATGTATGTAGATGCTAATGATGCATTGCGGAGAGAGCTCTTTGGAGTAATACATCAGTTGCTGTGCGAGAGCTGAGAGTTTTAGCAGACAATTTGGCAAGCTGTCAGCGCCACTCACTGCCAAGGGGCGGGGCAGACAGCGGCAGGGAGAGGGGCGTGGCTGCACTAGGATAGAACAGAGCACAGACAGCGGCGGTAGCGAAGGCGCAGCTAATGACTGTCTACAAGCGCTGGCAAGCAAAGACATCAATCAAATTGAATTGAATCAACCCCGCACAGCGGGCGAGGGGAGTGCAGGGTGAACGGGAGTCATTCGGTGTCATTCGACTGCTGCTGCTGCTGATGATGCTGATGCTTAAGCAAATAAACAAAACTTATAAACTCATTCAAATCATATTTAAAAATCATCGAGCAGCAGGCGCAACAGCTGGCCCATTCATGAATTATTTGTTTGCAGCTTATCAAACGTGACCAAAATGGACAAAAAGTTAATAATAAAAAAAGAGGAGGTGTGAGAGAAGCGCAAAGCGGCAAAGGGCGTGCCAGCTGGCCGACAAGGGCGCCGGACAACAGCTGGCCGAGGGGTCCGAGCCAGTGTGAAAAATCAGCAAAAACTGTGATAGAGGCGAACGCATTCGTGCCAGCCACTAGCTACGCTTTGAATACCACTGAGTGTCGACTTACGAGTGCGCAGAAAAAAGAACTAGGCCCTCTCTGGCCACAGTGCCAGCCCCAGCTCCAGCCACAGCTCCAACTCAAGGCTGTTATTATCTTTCGCCTGACCGCAAGACGTGTCAACGCAACGCTGCGTATACGCGACGTTGGCCCCAGCTGCACAACAGACACACACACACACATATTTCATCATACATCTAGACCACATATAAATCATGGGCTAGAAAAAGTTTCCGCTGCTGCTGCGGACAGCGCCTCGCATAAGTTGACTTGCATCCACAAAATATTTTGGCCATCTTTTTGGCAAGCGGCTTACAAATTCCGTCGTAATATATTCCAAGCGGCTTATTGACCAGGCATAACCCGTAGGTAAGTAAGCACTCGAAACCAGCCACGCCCACACGCCCATGGAACACCCCGCTGGCTAGAATGGGTTGCGGTCAGGCTGTTGTCTGAGTCTGGCAGCGTCTTCGCTCAGTTGTGGTTATCAGAGCATTTGCTGTGGGCTCAAAGCGATAGGTTTCCAGCCCGAACAACAAATGACATTGGCTTACAGCTTATGCAGGACACAGTTTATGGCAACTAGTTGGAAATTTCATAAGGCAAAGATCATTTTAAGAATAGCATTTGTCTTTTAGACAATATTAATATGGAAATGTTTTAAAAGTAATATTGGAAATCTTAAATAGTCAAAAGATAGCCTGAATAAAATGATTTAAAATTATTATTAAATAATAAAGTCAACTCAACTTTGAGTTATCACTTATACATATACATATATCATATCATTTACTGACAATAAAACAAATTTATTATGCTTGAAAAGAGTGTAAATTTCTATACATATTTATCTTTATATAACAGTTGTACATTGCCAAGATATTTCCATAATATAATTATTTAAAACTATAATACAATAATATAATCAATTAATAATATATTAATATAAGATAATATACAATAATATACAATGATAATATAATATTTTAAAGCAATTCAAATCAGCTTAAACATCATATTTGGTTTTAATAACTTAGTTGGGTAATTTAATTCTTCTTTATTATTATTTTATTTTTTATTGTGTTTAATTATGTTTAAGACATGGAATATTATTATAATATTTTGGATTTTTTCATTATTTATTTGTATTAATTATTTCTTACTTGTTTTTTATGTTTTATTGTATTTTTTTTAGCTAATTTATGATGTTTAATTAGTTTAGTATAAAATAGTTGAATAAGTTCATATAAACTAGTTGTTGTATATTTTAAAATAAAAAAAAGCAATAAAGTCCATATTGAATTTCTACTTCATGTGCTGCCTTTATGCCATTTCCAATAGAATTTTCTTCAATTATTGGTTATTATTAACATGCCCCTTTCTGCGCCTTTTTGCTCACTAGATTAAGAGGCAGCCAGTGTCATTCAGCATTTAGCACATTGTTGCCAGCTGAGTGTCTCGAGCCAAGGTGACGTAATTATAGATGTACTGCGAGCAGTTGCGAGTAGCGCCGGCTAAACAGCCAGCCCACAAAAGTGCACTGCGTGCCACAGAGCAACCCTTGCAGTTTCGCATGGCAAAAAGCGGAGCTTAGGGTGCGAGCTGTATTGGAGGTGAGACATAGGGGAACTGCGGAGTGCGAGCTCAGAACTGTGAAGGGCACAAAGGGTTGACAATGCCACGCGGAACACAGTGGGCGTCAACCAGACGCACAGTACATGTCTGAATGTGTGTGCGTGAGTCAGTGTGAGTGTGAGTGAGTGTTGGTAAGTGTTTTGGCCAGCTCAAGTCTCGGCTCGCATCTTTTTGGCGCAGCTTATCTTTAAATCTTGCAGCTAGCAAGACGCTGCGACACATTAGCATAAAATCCGAGTTAAGATAAGTGCAATTTATGCCAAGCGAATGCGTTGCTTTAATGAGTGCAAGTTGCTCTGGGATACGGTTGAGTCACATCAAACGGGGCAATTAACAATTGCGCTAGTGTAAATCAGTTTTATCTAAATCCCATTTTGAAAAATTGCACACACATACAGAGACGGAGATGCCCGCAGATCCTTGGAAAAGGCAAAGGACAACGATGCTTAAAATGCAATTTGTTTGGCGGTCCACAACCTGAAGATGGCAACTTGTTTCTCGGTCTGAGCGTGTCATTAGCATTGATTAATTTGTCGCACGATTTACATGGAAAAACAATCAATCAACGGTATGTCGTCGCTGCCATTGCCATTAGTCAATCTTGAGATGCAGCCCGCCACTTGAACTCGGTGTCAACCCGGGGCCAGACAGCCCATTCAGCTAGACATTCCCTGCCATTCCGTGTCATTCCATTCCATCCATTCATCCATCTCATTTCAGTCAGCTTCAATCGCAATCTTCTAGCATGCTGCACATCATTAACGGCTCCGCCGGGGAGTGGCTACGGCTCCAGCTCCTCCCACTCGGCCCCAAACTTCCTAAACTCGAGCTCTCATCACAGGCAAATTGTTATGAACCTAGTTGTCCACTTGTCCACTCGGCCACTTGCCCAGTTTGGCTTTAATGAATTGTTTCGCTGCCAAGCAAAGTTTTTGGCCTGAATGTAATTAAAGTCAGACTGCGGCTATTTTCTATGCTGCTGTCTCGGGCGAGCCAAAGTGCACAGAGACGGCGCTAATGTGCGCTCGAATGGGATGAGCTTCAGCAAAGTCTTTTAACTGCTGCGCAAATCGCATGGCAATCAGTGCCTTATATAGGCAGAGACACACAAAAACTCAATTGAAAATTGTTAAAATTCACATGTATTACATATTAGATTGATCGTAGAATGACCTGTAGCTTGAATACAACTAACTGCATATAATAAATAAAAAACTGATCCATAGTAAGCCTTAAATATACGTAAGATGTGGAGTTCAATTAGAAAGTTAGAGTTTAACTCAATAAAAAGCAAGGCAGTTGAAGTCGGAAGTCGAATCTAAAATAAAAAAAATAATAATAATAAAAATAAAAAATTAAAAAAAAAATTGTCCGAGTAAAAATTAAATAGAAAGTCTTAAATTTTGTTTAATTCATATAAATAATACAACAAAAAAATGTATATAATATATAAAAACTAATTTAGTTATTACATTTTAAACATTCAATAGAGACTGAGCTAATATCTACAAATAATTAACAATTCTTTAAAACTAATTAAAAAAATTAATTAAGAACTAGAAACTTATAATCTATATAATATAAACCAAATTTTGTAATTATGTAACTCATTCAACTCATCTGCCTAGACAGATAAATTATTAACAACACTTTAAAACTAATTAAAAAAATTAATTAATAACTAGAAATTTATAAGCTATATAATATAAACTAAATACTTTAATTATGTAACTCATTCAACTCATCTGCCTAGACAGCTTTCTTCTATGCCATTCAATCCCCCTTTCGGCCGCCTTGTTTTTGTTATGTACAGCGAGATCATCTCTGTCCAATGGTGAGGCATAATTAAGCTGCATCAATGTCGTGTTAAGTAGCCAGCAAACTAATGATAGCCGCATTTACAACAAAGGCCAATTGTTGCTGCTGGGGCTGAGCAGCCAGAGGTGGACAGGGGAGGGCGGCAGGCAGCAGGAGAAACGCAACACAAACAAAAGCGCGGGGACTTTAATTTTTATGCGTGAAAACACATAGCAACAATGCCCATGGACCCGGCTAAAAAGAAAAAATAAAAAAAAAGAGAGAAAACAACAGAAGCAGAGACAATGCGAGGCACACTTAAAATGCGAGACATTCATTTTTCTACAAGTGAACAAACATGGAGCAGAACATTCGCGAGCGAGAGGGAGAGGAAGACGGGGGGAGCAGTGGCACACAGGACACGTGGACCGTGGCTCGACCTTTTTTGGACGGAGGAAATTCAATTAGCCTGGATCTGGGTAGGTGGACGAGCGGCACGGACGGACGTTTGCTTAGGTAATGTTTCAATTAATTCGTTTGGCTGCTGGGGTTAGCTGCTAATGATGCCCGGGACTAGGCTGATGTATCTATTCCGGCTAGATTGCAGAGCAAAGCAGAGAGAGAGAGAGAGAGAGAGAGGGAGAGGGAGAGAGAGAGCGAGCACTCACCGCATTCTCCAACCATAAACAAATCAAATCGATTGGCCACAATTAATAACACCAATTCTGTGCGACTGCATTTCATTATTTGTTATATGTTTCAAAGATATTTATTTGATAAACGCCGACGTCGCCAGACGCCAAAAATCTCATCGCTTTAAGTGGGGCTCATTTTGGCGTACAAGCACTCACAAAACAAAAAAAAAAAAAGGATAGAAAAGGCAAGACCAGGGGCAAAAAGGGGTTGGGCGCAGCCAAAAAAAAAGGGACTGCTACCGGGTAACATATCAAAACGCCGCAAATGGGCAACAGCAACAACAGCCACAAAACGATATGAAATGAAATCATATAAGACAAAAAAAATCTACAGAGGCAGAAGAGGGACAAGGGCAGGAGACGGAGAGTGCCAAAAAAAGGCAAACATGCGACGTCTCTCCAAAGGATTTGCCAACGCAGACAAACGCTGCAAAGACAAAGTATCTGTGGCATACAAAAAGAAAAAAGTATCTGAGGAGCTGCCCGGCACAGGCAGAGCCGATGCCAAGAGATATGCTGTGTGTCCGAGTGTGTGTTGGGGAATTTGCCGAAAAAATAAAAAGCAAAAACAAAAATCAGCTAAGGAACAGTGAAATAAATGCAAGCCGCGGCAAAAGTCAGAGAATTGCGTATTCGGTAGCTGGCCAAATGCTGCGCCATATAAATGATGTGAGAGTTATCGGCAAAGAGCAGATTAACTGCTGAAACTTACAAATTATTAAATTTTATATTTACATTTATTTTGCTGTATTGTTTTTTTTTTAATCATATGACAAATTGCAAATAAAACATAAATTTAAACCAAAGGCTCCAGTGCTCAATTTTTGTTTTACATGAACTCTAATATGATAATAAATAAATAAAATTAAATGTAAATTATAATTCTAACATATTTTGTGAAAGGCGAGACCTTATAATATATATGCATAGAAAAATATATTGAAAATTTTATTAATTTTTTACTAAAGTGTATACGCATTAAACATTTAACTTTAATATTTTAATGCAATTAATCATTTTTTCTTAGAAAATATATGTAAATAGTTATGTATTAGCAGCATAATGTCAAATTCGCTTGTAAATAAAGCGTCCTTTTTTTTTAAATTTATATAAATAAATTTATGTATATATGTATATAATTTAAATATATATCAATTTTTAAATTTTAAATATATATCAATTTTTTTTAAATTTAAAAACAAAAAAACTAAATAAATAAATAAAATAAAATAAACATATATATTCTATTTATATGCATATAAATTAAAATATATAAATTGTTCGTTAATATATTCGGTACATAAATCTTGTAAATTTTTAGAGGTTTATAAGGAGGATTCCCATGTATTTTTATTAAATATAGAAATTAATCTAATAGAAATAAAATATATACATATATGAAAACAATTAATTTATTTATATATTTTATAATACACACATTCTTTATATCAACAGTTATTAAATAAAAAATGTTTACATATTCCAGGACGCTTCATAGTTTTAAACGAGTACAAAATATTTGTACTATCAAGTCATTAAATACAAACAATACCAAATAATATTGTGTATGAACACAGTCCCCGCTATAAATAATACTGTCTCTCATATCACGCCGAACAGCTTAGTCAGGCATGCCCGAGTTTCAATGCAGGGTATTCACAAACTACACAAACATGCTTCACGTGCGTCACCTTCTTGCCACACAAACACGCACACACACATTCGCACACACATGAATTCACTCGAGAAGCGCATCCTCAGCTCAGCTCAGCTCAGCCTCCACTCGCTTGCAGTTCGCACTACCACGCGTTAATCCAACATGAGATTATGGAACGCTTGACTTAAAGCATCTGTTAAATTGGCTTAATCTGTGTGTGCGTGCGTGTGTGTGACTGCCAGTGTGTGTGCGTCCCTCGGACTGTCTGTCTGTTTGCCTTTGTAATATGTATCTCCCGCCGCCACTTTGTAACTGTTGTCATTTTTATTGCCCTGGGAATGTTTTTTGTCCACCATTGTGAGAGACGTACACGCCCCGCCAAGCATTTTTTTCTCTCTCCTGCCTTCATATGTCTGCCATTATGTGTGTGTGTGTGTGTGTTGCTGTCCTGGCTGGGTGTCCTTTGTACTCCGCTAAACAAAAGTTTTGTCGTTGATTTTATTGACCAATTTTTGGATGCGTAAGTTGCTTTTTTTTCTCGAGAGTTTTTGCATGCTGCTCCCGCTTCTTCAGCTCCTGCTGACCCTGCTCCTGCTGATGCTGCTGCCCCTGGGCCTTTGCCAGTTTATTTTGCTGTTCGTTTCTTTTCTTTGGGCTTGCTTTGTTTTCATAAGTTTTTTTATAGCCTCATCTGTGGGATTTAAAGTTTTATTGTGATTTAAACACTTGTTAATCGTGTGTGCATATGTCAATTGCCTGTCGCTGTGTGTGTGCGCGTGTGTGTGTGTGTGGGTAAGATTTGCTTCTGTTGTTTTTTCTTTAGCTACTGGATTAAGTTGTCTTCGGGCAATGCTTATGACTGTCAATTGGTTTCAGGCCTGGAGTTACGGCTTCAAGTTAGCAGTATATTTTGCTGTAAAAAAAAGTTTTTTAACATACATTTAACTTAAGCTTTAATAATAATATTCAAATAATATAATTAATAAAAAAGAATACTAAAATATATAGAAAAAAAATTTATATATAAAATAAAAATATAAAATATATATTATTGTAAATTAAAAAAGATAAAAATTGTTTTCATTTATTAATTAATTAACATATTTTTAATTCTAAAAAAAAAAATAGTTCGACAGAAATAAAAATATTACTCACAGTAAATTTGTTTTAATGAAATAAAAAATGTATTATATACAAGGAATAATAATACAATCAATAACACAGACTTTTTTTAACTTTATTTCTTTTTACTTGAAAATAAAATTTTGTAGGATATATAAATATTATTATAAATTATAATTTGACATAATATAATTAAATAATGGTAGAACTATACTTTAGATTGCAATAAAAGGAATTAAGTTCATTTCATTCTCTGTCTATTCACATCATTAGCCAACGCAAAGTGTCTTCTCCGGTCGCAGCCGGATTTAGCATATCTGTGCCAAAATTTACATGCAACTAATGCCAGACTCAGCTGAGTTGAGTTGAGCTGAGTCGCGTCTCTGAATCCATCGTTTCATTGATAAATTGTCTGCGGAATGACAAACAAGAACAGGAGCTGCATTGATAGGCGGACAGGTAGCAAATGTCGGTTACACACACAAATAATCACTACACTTCAATCGGGCTGCAATGGGGAGAGACAGAGAGAGAGCCAACAGCTGCCCCAGCAGCAGCACCAGCAAGTGGATGGCCTGCAGAGCGATTGTAATCAAAATGCAACAAATTAAGGAGGCAGTAGAGCGAGCGAGGGAGACAGTAGGAGAGGGAGGCAGGGAGAGCGAAGGCAAGAGGGAGAGGGAGCAATCGACTCGTACCTTTGGCTTAAAATATTTATTTATGCAATTATTTTGCAAGTAGCTCAAAATAAATAAATGAAATGAAATAAAAGAGCAACGAGCTGAAACTGGATCTGGCTCTGGCTCTGGCTCTGGCTCCGACTCCGGCTCCGAATGCGACTCCGTTTGCGTGGCTTCAATTGACGAGGCAGCGCAGTAAATTAAAATTTAAATTTATGCCATTTGCGGCTGGCCCCAAAAACATGCGCAGGACGCAATTAGGCAACAGGTTGAACTCCCGGCCATGTCATCGCCATCGTCTATTGTCACTCAAAAGCGAAGAAATATTATTTATTTATTTATGACAGGCCCGCAGGCAGACCCTAAGTGAAACATCAACTGCGTGCACCTGCCAAACAGGTGTGCCAAGTACTCGAACCGCACCCCGCACCGCCCACCAGCCCATCTGACCCAATTAGCTGGCATCTTAGTTGAGTGCGGCCAACAATGTATGCGGCATGGGTTTATGGCTCGTAAATGTCGGATCGCTTTTAATTACATGCGCTGCGTATACGTAATATTTGCTGGCCATCGATTGACTGGAAGACTCATTCCGTCTGCGCCTCATTAGCCCAATAACTGTAACTGTAAAGCTGTAAAACCACCAAAAATCAGGCAATTGTGGTCGAAGGGCTGGGCAATAAACGGCAATCAGACAATCAGACGAACCCTTTCTGCTTTATGATCTGAAAACAATTTAAGCTTTTATTTGTTTATCCAAAGACAGAGCCAGAGCCACAGACAGAGTCAGAGTCAGAGTCTGAGCCAAAGCAATCAAGCCCCACTTGGGCCACAAATGGTAACAGCTCAGCGCAAGCCCAAGCGAATGCAGTGAGCGTATTTCATTGAAGCAGGAGCAACAGTTGCTATTGATGGATCACCAAAAAGCAACGGGGCAACGGCAACAGCAGCAGCAGCGACAGCAGCAACAGCAACAAATGCCAAATGATCTGTGGAAGACGTTGCGTAAAGCGAAGACTGCGATAATGATCATACAAAAGCGAAAAACGCGTTAAACTTTGCAACGTCGTCATCAACAACTGCCTCCCCGCCCGGCATTAGCTACTGCAGCAGCAGCACCACCACCACCACCAACGGCACCACCAACAGCCACTGCCATAGCAGCAACTGCGACTGACCCAACGACCGGACGTTGTGCTTGCAGTCAAGTGCGATTGCAAATGCACGGAATTCACATTCTGCCTGCTGCAAGCCCCGCCAGTCAATGCTACACTGAGAAAAAAGAAGTGTTTATTTATATTGCCATATGCAATACTGAACTGGGTAACAATTTTTAATTTGCTTTTGGGTGAATCCATCAAGCATTATAACTGTACTTGCACCCTGATTTGCTGAATAGAATAAGACTTCCATCAGTTAATTTTCTGCCCAATATTGAAATTATTCCTCAACGCTTAAACGTTCCATCATCAATATCCATATTCAATAATCTAAGTTGTGAAACTTTATTGTTTTCCATGCTCCATGTGTCAACTAGAAATGTATTTAATTATTAACAAAGTTTTGTTTTTAATAGAGCAAATAAATAATTTTAAAATAGGTTTATTCATTTTTAAAAGTAAAATATTATTTTATTAAAACAAAAATACATTGTTAATTATACCTTCAATCTCAAATTCTCTCTTCAGCTTCAGAATTTTTTATACTGATTCCAAAAAAAAAAAAATAATAATATTTTATTTATATTTATACTACAAAAAAAAAAAAAAAAAAAAAAAAAAAAATAAAAAAAAACCAAAAAAAAAA